GGTTCCTCTTCCTGCTATTAGATAGAATGATCTTAGTAGTAATCAAAAACAATGAAAAGTCAGGAGAAACCACGAGGTTCATGACAAATGATGAAAACAATGAAAATCATGAAGCATTATTGGAAGTCATGAAAAAATAATGAAAAATCATGCCAAATCATGTGAGAGATGCTGAACATCATGAAACAACATACATTGAAAATCATGCAAATGATAAGAAAATCATGACATCTGATGAAAATCATGGAAAATATGGAAATTATGAAAAATCATGAAAATCTTAAAAAAAACATGACAAATCTTGCAAATGATGAAACATCAAGAAAGGATAATGAAAAATAATGAAAGGTCTTGATGAATCATGATGAACAATCATGAAACCCGATGAACAAACCATGGAAAATGATGGAAACTTATGAAAATGTGGAAGATCATAAAAATCTTTAGAAAACAATGAAAAAATCATTCAAGTGATGGAAAATCAAGAAAGTAATGAGAAATCATGAAAAGTGCTGCGAGATGATGAAACTCATGAAAATGTTGCTCTTGCTCTCGTATTCCGAGCTTGCTTACTTGCTTGCCTGCTTGGCTGTTTGCTTGTTTGCTTGCTTGCTTGATTGCTTGCTTGGTTGTGCTCCTGTTGGTTTTCTCGCTTGCTTGCTTGCTCGCTTGCTTGCGGCTACGTTGCTTGTTTGCATGCTTACTTACTTCTGGCCATCCCAAGCCTGTGTTCTTGCTTAGCTAAAGCAGGAGGAACCGGAACAAAACTACAACACATAACGGAAATAATAATACCAAAAAACATACCGCCACCGCGTAAGTCCCTGGCAAAGCTCTCTCCCACTGACCGCCCTTCTCACAGCTTGAGATGGCAGCGGAGAAGCTGAACACATTTTGCCTAAGCAATGACAAGCGAGATCGATGATGTAGTTGCAAGGTTTCATCGGGATCAATGCTCAAGTGCCTCGCGTGCAGGTTTGACTATATTCTCTTCAGCGTTTGCTTGCCAGGTCGCTGAAGGTGCAGCAAAGGCATCTGGGCCAGCAGACTCAACGCTTGAACCCATTGATGGCCTTTTCCGCAAGCGCCTGGGCTGACTGATCCTACAGAATCACAATTGTAGCGCTTGACGAGCTCTCAATCGGGAACGGAATGGCTACCATTTGGCCTACGTCTTGCAGCGCGCTGAATAGTCCACTGCGGCTACCAGCACAACAAGTCTGCACGGCCTACATCTTGCAATGCCAGGCCATCACTCACGGACCAGCTCTGGCAGACAGGCTGCTGATGGTGGTGGTCAGCAACTTGCCTGGCGTTGCAACACTGTTGTTGTCTGCAGTTCGGCTGTGTGATTTGATTTGCAGTGCTAGCCAGGATACATGTTGGATTCAGCTCGTTGTTGATCACTTGTTGAAGGTTGCATAGCGAAAGTTGCCAAGAGCATCTTCTGCCAGATTCCGTCGTCCCTGCAAGCCGGTCGCGGATGCCAACAGGGTGCGCTGTTCTCATGGGCACAGCCTGCTCTATCACTGTCTATTCACTATTCCATCGGAAGGCTTGAACCAAAGACTCAGGGTGAAGCTCCAGCAGCGTTGCATGGATGCTTGGATGTCACACTGTTGATGCAGGGAGTCAGCAGTTGCCGAGCATAGGATCTGATTGGTGGCAAATCTTCCCATCCCAGCCTGGAAGGTATCGCCACCGGCATCTGAACCGTCCGAATCATCAATGCCCTGCAAGTTCTAGCCTAGCTTTGGCTGCATATGCTACATAGAACAACCATAAATCTCCCCCCCACCCACCCAAAGCAGGGCCGTGCCCTTTGTGCTCTCACAAGGTATCCTCCAAGTCCAGGAAGTCGGACAAGAACTTGCCGCCCTTCCCGCCCGCTGGCTCATCCCCCTCGTCATCCTCGTCGTCCTTCCGAAGTTCGCATCCGAGCTGAAGAAGTGAGGCACTGTGCAAGACCAGGCAGAAGGATGACATGATTTTCCTCGCCTACATGCGTAACCTTGCTTAAAGCAATCTTGACTCAGGCAAGCAGGCGCATTGGCGGCAAAACTAGCAACCTGCATTGCTCCGCTGCCGAGATGTGAAGAAGGCCCTACTTTCGGTGCAAGTGGAGGTGTGCGAGCCTCCTCCTCGTCTGACTTCAACGCTTCGGCTTCTGCCTCCCGCAAACGCCTGGATGCGCCAAGCTCAACAGCACATTTTCTGAGAACATACTTCTGAAGACCAATTATATCACTAGTGTTCCAGCCAGTCTTCTTCTTTGTCTTGTCGGTGTTGCTGGATGCTGATGCTGGCGTTGGCGGTGCTGCTGCTGCTGCTGCTGCTGCTGCTGGCAGTACTGATGTTGGCACCGGTGACGGCGGGCTGGCGGTTGTGGTAGTGGTGCCGGTGGTGGCGGCGGTGGTGGTGGGAGCAGTAGCTGTGTCGATGATTACATCACATCATCGGCATACTAGATGGCGCAACCATTTTTATGGATACCCTGCCGGGGATCAGGGAGACAAGCATACTGGTGGGGCCGCGCTGAGACTGTGGCTTGCATCGCTCGTTCTCGCACTCGAGGCCGGCCACGATGACACGAAGCAGCCTCTGACACGCTCATGCTCACAGGTTATCCACTGCGTTTTTATGCCTCCACCTGAAGCCAGGCTCTAAGATTTTGCAAGTCCCATCAGCTTGCGGTACGCATTACTGAATCGTCCTGTCTTCGAACAGTCCTGAGAGCGAGGCTGATCAGGCAAAGGCGCCTGGGGTCGCAGTTCCACACGAATCGCTTTCCCACTTGTCCTAAAGTTTATGCATGCCACCCCACAAGGCAAAGGTGACGTATGACTACCAAGCGTCACAACGTTTTGGTAAGAGAATCGTGAACCCAGTTGGAGTCAACCAGTACTTTGCGGTTTTGCACAGCCTGAAGAATGTGCAGATCTACTGAGCCTCGCCCACCCGACAATGCCGAAGGGGTGATTCCTCTGCAAGACGTGCTCCCACACATCTAAGTGAAAAAACAAATGGCAAGCTCATCATCTGCTTGGGTGGAACTGCAATTCATTCTAGTACATCGCAGTTGTCGCCTTAGATGGTTGGCACTTCATGAATCCTTCGCCTTCAGGCCCATCATGAAGATTGCGGCAACAGCGTTAGCTTTTGCTCTTTCGATTCTGGCAGATACAGAACGAGATGTGACACGCTGTCCTGAAAGCACTGTTCGTGTAATCGGCACATGGCGGAAATGGTCACATTTCGCCTCACTGCTCCCGCAGGAGGGCATGGCTCTAGTTGTTCCAATATAGCACAGACCTCGCAAGCTCACACCAGTGCGGGCACTCAAGAAAAAGGGGTTTGAGAGGCAACCCCGTCAAAAGTCAACCTACTACTGCCTACGCAACATCTTGCAACGAGAGCGTTTTTGGATTGCAGTTCTCAGCCAGGGACGCCCTTTTGGCACGAATGTCTGGTGCCTCCAGATGGCAACTTCTCCCAAAAAGTGAAAAGATGGCGGCCCCAAGCCGAGGCATACACATCGCTTGGACTCTGCAACTGGCTCTACAGCATGACTCTACAAAGGTAAGGAGGACATCTGAATTGGCGGTACTGCGATGCTGGTCGGTACATTGTCGCTACAAGATGTTCAGCCTTCTTTCCACAACTGCACTTACACATGTTCATTCTGCTTGCTAAGTGGCTCGGCAACTGCGCAGCCAGCACAACTTGAAGACCTTCTTGAATGTAGAACTTGTTGTATGTGTGCTCATACCCTGCTGCTAGCTCTGGGCCCGAAGTCTTGATTGTGGCTAGGCCACGCGCTCAAGGAACTGATGAAAGCCAGACTGGGCAGTCATTCGATAGTTGATGGGGGGAGGCTCCTCTCGCCCAAAAGAACCCGTGTATCCACAGAATATGCCTGACGCCTGCGCAAGGGCCAAAAGTGATGCCAGCCGAAGTGAAACAAACTTTTGCATGGTCCCGAGAATCACCAGCGCTGGCGGCTCTGAAGTTTGGAGCCCTTCCTAAACCCAACATGATCTCCACATCTGATGTTCAAATTTATCGAACTGGGTTCTGGGCACAAGACAACCACGCGCCCCTGGGCAGCGTGTTGGCTTTTGATGTCAGGAAAGATCTGGTAGGATCTTGAAATTGCTCGTCCTTGCATGTTACCTTGGGAATTGTCTTTTGGGTGCCTCTACTCGTTTGTTTGTAGGGCAAGCACCGAAGACCGAAGCCTCAGAGCAAGTGCACTCACTGAACCCTGTTCTAGCTTAAACTACCTGGAACAGAATTCAGCAAGGGGAGTGTTTTTTTGGTTCTGGCTTGCTTCAAGCAGACTTTGGACAAAATACCAGCGGACTCGGTGGTCTAATCTCTGTGAGGTTACAAGCGCCGAGGAAGATATGTGTCGAATTCCAAGTCCTCCCTTGGCTGATGAACAGGTTGCTACTTTTCTTGTATACAGCAGCTGCCAGTCAAAATCCTTGCTGGGGTCCCGGCAACAGCAACTCCAGACCACTGCGAGGAGGGGAGCTTTGGACCTGATCCAGGGCTCTGGGTGGAACGGAATGAGAGCCAGGCACATACATGCAACAAAAGCCCAAAAAGCTCACTATTCAAGAGTCCCTCAGGACTTGTAGATAACTGACAATATCAGTGTTCCAGCAATGAAACGCCCAAAAGAAGACTCTGCAGCCAGCTTTTTGGGCAGCCCAGTGCTTTTTTCCTGTTTGAATTTAGCCATTTATTCAATGCTTCGCAAGATTTCACAAGTATGCAGCACTTCTTCTGACAAAAAATGGCCAAGGATATCACCTCAATGCCCGCGAGGGCTGAGACTGCGCCATTCAAATCCTGCAATGAGCTTCAGGGCTGAACAGCTGCAACAAGAGAACCCAGGTATGAGTTTGCCAGCAACAAGCCACAGTGGAGCAACACTGCAACACCCTGAAATCAGATCCTGCCTCGTGGATGAGGCGGGCGCACACGACAACAAGCTCCTGCAGCCATGGAGTCATTGATGAGATTCTGGAACATTGCTGAATGGATGGGCCTTGGGGCTCAGAACCTTTGCACGTGGGAGAAGCAAGTTGCTGAACAACCTGCATGTTCAAGTTCTACCCTGTTACTGCTGAGAGTTCTTGGCCTGCTCGTGAGTGGTCCTGGCGGAGGTATAGGCGCTCGGCTCGCGCGAGCCTTGTCACCAGTGCGCGGAGCAGTCCAACCTGCACGACAATGCACCGGCTGCTGGCGCGAAACTTCTTCAGGCAGGATCGGCGTTGGATTTTGGTGTCTAGTCCATTGGCTCCAGTGACAGGCCGTGGAGGCTTTGAAGCCGTGTCAGGCCTGAAGCGCCCCGGGCAGGACGCGACCTTATTTCATTGCTCTTGTTGCCCATCATTCTCGGATGCATATAACAAAAGCCTGGCCAAATGAAGCTTACCATGACTAAGCCCCCTGCCAAACTGCGCAAACAGCAGCATGGCCAATGGCCTTGTTTTCTTTCCACTGGCAGCTGCTATTGTCTCTAGGGCTGCTGTGTGGTGGCACCCTTGTGATTTCACCAGTTTGCACAGGCGCGGCTTCGGACTTGAGCCCTTTTGCCACTTCAGGTGGTGGCGCAGGTGTCCGGTTTCTGGTCACCGCGATTCTGCCGCCACTCCTGGAATCAGCCAGCAGGATGTCTAGTGTGTAAGCTTTCGCTTCAGCGTGATTGATTGTTGGGGCCTTCAGAGTCAGCCTGAAACATTTATCTAGTCTATTTCCAGCCGTCTGTGGCCTCAAGCTTCTGGCTGTGCCTGCAGGGTCAGCAGCAGACCAAAGTGGTCGCTTGGCCAGAGGCCATCCTCTGCAGATGAAGCAATCTCTCTCTACATGCAATGTGCCCGTGCTGTTCAAAATTCATTAGGAGCGTGCTGACAGCCTTACAGATTCAGCTACAACAGCTTCCTTGATGGGCTCGTCAAGGAGCTCTATGTCCGTCGCCGCATAGTTGCTCATCTGCACAAATCGTTACCCGTGAAAGCTGCTGCAGTCAGTACCTCTGGTCCTCTGTCAGGCCTTCATCCAAAAGCGATCAAAGCGAAGGCGAGCTTTATTAGCTCGAGCCCAGCCATCATGGGCGCTCATCATGCCTGTTTCGTACTTCTTTCGCGAAGAATGCTTCTCTACCACCCAGCCTTCGCTGCATGTGGAATCGCTTCTGCACCATGCTGCATGCTGGGGGCCAGTCTGTTCCGCTCTACGTCGAAGGTGTAGCCTGGCAGTGAGAAACTGCATGCAATTGTTTTTTTTATTCAGGATTCTGCAGATTCAGCAGCTTGGCTTGTCTCTGCGATCTCTCTCAGATGGCTGGTGGATCTGAGCTCACCCTGAGAGCATGTTGAAATATAGCAGGCATTGCAGTAGAAAACTTCTAATCACTCCTCCAGCACAAGTTTGGCTCACCTTCGGTCATTTCTTTTGGCATGCCTGGATCATCTGGCTTCAGGACAAGCCAGGCATCCTCACAATCTGTTCAAGCAGCAAAGAGGAAACAATCGCATTTCGTAACGCCACAGCACGAACAATCTCCTCCCAATTACGAGGTAGTTTGACATTGCCGTCAACTGCTTCGTTGATGTTGGTGTCACCACCTGAGTAAAGGGGACCAAACCGCACCGTGGACCTTGACAGCTACAGACTAGCTTGACAATCCGCACCCAACAAAACGATCGATTACTCACAACCAATCCGTTTTGCCAATTCGGAAGTTTCACACTTCGGCCAAGGCGCAGAACACTGCATCAGCGTGGATTGCCAACTGTGTCAGGCTCTCATTGATCTGTACACGACGAGCCTGTGGCGGGAAGCGGTTTACATCTACAGAATCTATGAGAATTTGTACTTGAGGAATGTAGCATTCGCATAACCCCGGCACTTCCTGCCCTGCTCATGAGTCAATAACGCTGATGAATCATCGTTCTAGGGGTGGCGGTCACACTGGCATGTGAGGACGCGACTGAACTGACAGCTACCTTCCTTCATGTGATGCTGTGCAAGCATCAGTTTTGAGAAGCATTGCTCAGACTCCAAAGGGGCCCCTCCTCGTGCTCATCCAAAGACTCCAAGTGTGAAGTGGCAAATGCCAACGGGGGGAGTCCGGATGGCTCTACCTGGGCGGCAGGGGTTTTCCTTTTTTGCTGAGGTTCGTGCCAAGCAATGACCAACAATTGCTGCTGCTGCTATAGCACTGTGTCTTATGTAGTGTCATTGCTTGCCATGACTTCTTTCACCCCCAGATAGACTACGTACTTTGAGAATACCAACAGGGTTTAGGGTTTAGGGTCCAGCCGTTCAGCAGAGCTGCAATCATCGTCACAAGGTCTCTCTGCATCCGGCTTGCCTGACCAAGTTTATCTGTTCAATTCACAAGCTTATAACCACGTGCGATGTCTTCGGGTTCATTCTGTCATTCCTTGCAGAGGTTGCAGCGGCAGGAAGGCCAAATCTTGGCAAGTCAGATTTGCTTTGTGAGCTCCTTGATTTCGGAGATCTTTTCGCAGGATGCATCGCTGTTCCAAGCGTTCAGTTCCAGCCTGCCTTGAAGGGATGCCTCGCTGGCTCTGTCTTCACGGGCAAGCGACTTCCCAGCATGGTAAAATAGCGATGCCTCTGGTAGCGATAGTACGTGTTCTGTTCCAATCAAACGGGTCAAGCTTAGGCTTCGCACGGTGGGGCTGGGCTCCAAGAGTAGCGACGAAAGGCTTCACTCTTCAGGCCTTGTCAAGATCACATTGTGAAACGCTTCGAAAAAGCAGACTCGGATGATCTTCTTGCATACGAAGGCAAGGACATTCTTGCCAATGTTCTGCCGTCATCTCCTCTTCAGGTCTCTGTAGGTAGTCGGCTGCTGAGCAAGCGTGCTTCAAGGGCAAGTGATTCAGAAGCAGCCGCTCCTGCAGAGCGATCAGATCTGGGTTTTTCTGGGCAATGATGTTGCCAATGGCCTGACCAAGCTTGAGTGTGGTCCGACTGCTTTCACAAAGGTACGGATGTATTACCTACTGACATGGTTCGGGCCTCCATCCGATGTTGCATCTCATGCGATGCAAACCAGATGTTGAAGCTCAGCATTCTCACCGCCATGTTATGAGCGAGGGTCAGGGCTTCTACGTGTAGTGATAGAGATGCTTGCTATTCGGCTGCTGCTGCTGCTGCTGCTGCTGCTCGAATTGAAACTTGTTCTGTTGACCTTTGTGCAATCTACAAGGTGGAGTCTCTCTGACCTGCTGCCATGTGAAGTGGGAAGGACCAACAACCTCAACGCTAATATACCCTTAGCTCATACTCGCGCTTTGCTTGCCTCCCCAACTTGTCTTCGTGAAAATGTGGTCTGTCGGAAACGTCGACGATGATTTCTTGGGCATATCTCCCCATTAGCGTGCTTTGAATAAGCATCCGCCATTAAAGCTGATGAATGAAACAGTAGGCATTTGCACAAATGTGCATGACTCCCATTGGGGCGTTCCAGACTGACTGCTGGGCCACTCCACGGCTCACAGGAATCGGAAAGTTAGTCATGCCCACATCGACAAAGCTGTCGCACCTCTGCCCTGATGGCTTCTGTGCATCAGAACCCCTACTATGAATTTGCTATGCCATTGCAGGGTTCCTTGACAGCTGTTGAGAAAAAAACGTCATAGAGGGTGATCACAACATGGCTGATGTTCTCCGGGGCACCTTATTTCGAGCCAAGCACATGCTGAGAGGCCAGCCCGACGTACAGGCAGGCGTTGTCCTCCAGAGCGAGCATGAGCCATTGTGCGCATCTCAAAGCCAGGGTGTATGATTCCTGTGAATCACTCAGAATGCGCTGCAACTTTCCTAGCTTCTACATTCCATTCATCTGAATGAGGACTAAAGAAGCAAAGCGGTGGGGACGTTATAAGAAACGCTATACGCAATTCAAACAGGCGCACCAGGCATTGACCCCTCTCCCGGCCCATCTGCCTCCCTGATTGAACCCCAGCATCACTATGCTCCCCGTTTGCTAGACCTGCAGAAGGAGATTTCAGGCAAGCTATGTTCACCTCATGTTCGGAGCCTCGAGGTCTGGGCCCAGGAGGCGCTCCACGAGGCGCAGCAAAGGCTCCAGGAGCCCCGCCTGAGGAACAAAATGATGAGGTCATTTCTCGTCTTCTTTTTACTCTGCTTGCTCTCCTTCTGCCTCTCTGTTCCTGTGTTCCTCCTCCTCCTCCTCCTCTGTCCGCGCAGGGGCATTTGCAACTGCAGCACAGCTACAACTACCGCTATCAGCCCGTCTTGTCAAGAAGTAAGTGCGGTCTGGCCCGTTGGCGACTGTTCCTCCGTGGCCTATGCTGTCAAAACACGCGGCTTCTGAAACTTTGACTTTGACATGCTATGACCTTATGTCGCAGTCCTCCACCACTTGCGACGGCGAGCGCTCCACCTGGCAGGCACATCGAGACGTCACAGACTTCGATAACCCGGCGATAGTTCGGCCTTGTCTGGTGAAGCCATCTCCTAAATTACGTACAGGCTTCATGCCTTTTCGCTCGCTTCATGAAGCAGTCCCAGGGGTTGGAACAAACAAACTCATCCAGAGCTATGTAAAGTCGGCCACCTCAACGTCAACTGGGGCACAACTTGCTGAGTTAAAGAGCAGGCGACGCCAATGAAACCAGCCTGAGCAACCAGTGTGCTACCTCTTCCAGCTTGCACCCCTCGGAAGTGTGCATAGCTGCAGCTTCTGCAGTCTTGATGTGAGGCTGGCACGTCTCACAGGCATTCTGCAACATCATGCTTTCGTCGGAGTCCATTGCCTATGCACAAACTGCATGTTTAACAGCTTCCACAGCCACTTGCCTGTTCCAGTGTTCAAAATGCAGCTGTGACCGCTGTCTCCTTAAAGGGCCCATGGCGGGCGTGGGAGCTACCTTTCCTGCTCAGGGCAACCCTGCTGCAAGTTCTTTTTTCGTCGCGCGTCATCGCACTTTGCAACTGCTGTCAACAGACATGTTGCATTTCGTGATGAACAGCATCCCAGCAACAGCCAGTGCCGTCTGGCAGGTGACTGCAGCTGTTGGAATTTGGAACAACGAGCTTTGCGTTTGCCAGCGCCCTCTCCACCTGGGTGCTCTCTCAGCCAAGATCAGCCAGCAATAGAACTTGACCTGAAGTCACCTTCTTCCACTACTTATGAAAAGACATATGCTGTGGGTGCTGAGATATGCTGAGGCAATAGGTGTGATCTGGGAACGGCGACTCTAAAACCACAGGCAAGTGTATCCACCTGTTGGTCTGGTGCAGCTGTTTGACAGCGGCGTAGGCGTCCACCCAAGAGACTCAGGCCTTGCCCTTTGAGGTCCGTGCAACGGGCTCTCGCCCGTAACCATTGTCAGCTGCGCTAAGCTATGCTACGCTCTGATTCCTGCTCAGCTCGGAGGGCACTCCATCAGGCATCAAATGTCACAGCGAAGTCCATCGAACTCCTGCAGGCAAGCAGGCCCATCAGGCCCAACACCATGTGAACCTTGACGAAAGGAAAGAAAGACAAGTCTGTAAGACCTTCATTAGTTTCATGCACTCCCGGGCCTCTGCAAAAGGTTCACCTGTTGCCTCAACAAGTCCACCGAATGCCGAATGTCCTCCACAGCATGTGCAGCTCTGATCTCCAGCATGGTTGAAATTGTGAGACAGGCATCCCGACAGTTTCATAGCAGCATGCTCTGGCTCTGGGAAAAGCAGTGCTAGCCTTCACCGCCCCCAGCGTGCGATGATGCTCCATCTTTAGCACAGCCAGGTCCAGGCTTCTGGCTGGTCCTGACCAACCATTCCCCGGGCCCCCCCCTTGGCACTGGTCGCTCCAAAAAAGGCCGCTTACCACTACTTTGGAAACCTGAACCATGAAGTATCAAACAGCAGGCAAGCTGGAACAGCTGAGGTTAAGGCCTTGTAAGCGCGCGGTGCCTGGCCAGTAGTGTCTGCACTGAGGCAGACACGATGACTGCACCAAAACTCGACCCAAGAAATTATAACAAACACACAAAGGCATGCACACAGGATGATCCGCTAAGGCCTTGGATTAACTCTTCCAGGTCGAGCTCCCTATCCCCAGATGTATCCTGGGATGCCGACATTCAGTCTGAGGAGTGATCCGACAGAGTGTTGACGTGAAAGATAGCAAGCAAACTAGCCATTGCGAAGTCACTGATCCCTGTCACTGTCGGTTTCACGAAGAGATGCATCTTCGATATCTTCGCAACCCTTGTCAGCTCCCACCCTCTTTGGCATCAGCTGAACAGGAGCAGAGGTGCAAGAATACTCCTCCCAGAACCTGGCAGTACCTGAAAGTCCTCCCTCACCTTGTGTGGGGGGGACCCCTTTGTAAATCATCATCCAGGAGCCAGGATGTCCCAAAGCAGATCCGGGTCGGAGATGCTCAAGCCTTGTGCGGCAAACCAGTGCTTCACCTGTCAGGTTCGTATTTCAGGGAAGCAAGAACTTTTGCCTTTAGATCTGCCAGAGCCTTCTCTTCGGCGAGCACCTCTCTCCATTCCTCTGGTGAGAGGACCTTGTCCTGAGCTTTGAGCTTGCCCCGCGTGCACCCGATGAGCAATTTGCGACAAGGCACATCGTCATCGTTGGCGTGCTGGAAGAACATTTGCATTTTCTTCCTGGAAGCATGCTGTAGCAGTGCCCTGTGTGTAGAATGCTGGCGCTCACGAGGCTACGCTCTCTTGTTCGCACGTTCCCTGAACAATCCTGTGCGCCATGCGTTTCGTCTCCACAGTCCTGGCATAGTAGCTCTGATGTCGTGCGGCGGCTATGCTTTCCAGCTGGGCATGGTCTTGACTTAGAAAAGCTTGCAGGCTGAGCATGTCAAACGAGACATTGCTTTCTGGACTGTTGAATGTACGCTCAGCTGACTCAGGGGTCTATTTGCTTTAGGTCCAACTTAACTGGCTCAATGATCACAATTCAGCACCAAGCTTAGCTGCAGTCTCACATTGCTCTGATGTGTCCTCAGCATGATCTGGTCATCCTGCTGAGCGACTTTGAATGTCCTCGGACGCAGCCGAAACTTTCAGATATGTGTCCTGCAGCGCCAGCAAGTCAAGGCCCAGGTGCTCTTGCATGAAGACACCGTTGATTACGGCCTCAGTGCGTGCTTGGTTGTCTGAGAAGTCATGGAATCACAGGCCCTCCGAACATCTTTGGTGATCTAGGAACTGAGGGACTTGTAAGCAATGCTAGGCTGGTACGCTTGGCAAATGAAACACCGGCCAGCATTCTGGGTCCTCGGCCACACATGCGAAGCCTTAGATAGGTGCAGTCAGTGCCGGCAGCGTCTTGAAGCAGTCCCCTCCCCTGTAGGGAACCAGAATTGGGGCTGGCCTAATTTCCGTGGAAAGTTGTGTTGGGTGGGAGGGGAGGGAGCATCTGCTGGCAGAACGCTGGTGAGGCTTCCATTTCCTGACACATCACCGAAAGTGCGCGCGACTCGATTTAACTCAGTCAGCCTGGGACAAACATATTAGGGAGAGGGCTACGCAGCTTCAACTCCTACATACCCCCTATGTAACAGAATTACTACTAACAACCAATGATAAATGGTATTGGCAATTATTTAGCCAAGGTACCAAAGATGATCTTGTGCAAAAGGCTGAAGATCACAAACCACGAGCTCACCTTCTCCTGTACTGGCAGCCGATCGCTTCGACAAGGGTTCTTCTCAGTGCGCGCATGCAGTGAAATGCTGCAATCCCCCCAGCACAGCTCAAGTTCCTAACCTCTAGCCATAGTTAACTAATCGCAAATTCCAGAGCCCCTATCCGCCCAAGGCAGCTGTCACTGAACTTTCTGGGCAGGCTTGCTGGTGGGAGTCAGCCCCGCCTGAAGAAGCCGCGCAATGGGCGGCCAATTACCCAAGGTTATTTCAAACATCGACAGCATGCTCCTCAGTTGCAGCACATTGGACTTTGCGAGACCACAAGCCACTCCAAGTCAGTAGCCTGTCTCTGCCAAGCCTGAGCCTGGACACCTACTGTGAAAATACAGTACTTTGCAAACAGCGAGTTCTGTGAAGGTCTTACAAAGCAAGTTTAGATCAAGCTTGGACATGCCGAGGAGCCGTGTGAAATTCCCAAAGTATTCGAAAACACTTTGCCGGTCCGCCAGCTCAAATGAACCATCTTCAACGTAGAATAGCAGTACCTATGAACCCAGCAAATGACCAATGACCACACGCACATGCCTTCAAGTCATCCAGCCTGGCTCAACAGCAAAGCAAAGGTCATCTGGACGAGGATCAGCAGGGCAGCCACCCAGATCAAGGCATGGACGCTTCCTGGACAGATCATCTCTCAGGGCTGGCAGCTTGCAGCTTGCAGGACGTGTTAACATTTATACACCCAGCGGCCGTAAAGTGATGTCGTCATCACAGCCAGTGCGTCGAAACCCTGCACAGTACGCGCCAATTTGACCTGCCCGCACCGTTTGGATGCTGCAAGTCGATGCCTGCTACCGAAAATGCTCCAGAAATCCTGAGAATCCGGCCAGGCGCAGCAAGCGAGCTAATCGCAACAGCCGCAACATGGATGTGTCGAAAGGCAGGTTCTCCAGCGCTCGGTCAGCAATCCAGAGCCAGACCAATGCAAAATCGAACCAATTCCACACTTCCTGGTGGACAACATGCAAAGTTGCTAATTGCGCAGCTTCTTTGGTTTCGCTTGCCAAGACAGAAAATTTGGATGCAGTGCTTGAATGATACAAGACTTTTATCTCATTGGCCAAGTCTTCTTCCAGGTTGATGCCAATTTTGAAACGGGCAAATGGCTTGTCTGCAGAGGATTTCGGAGGCTCTGGATGAGCTGGAGGTTAGCTTCCGCTGCAATGGGCGGTGTGCAGGCTTGAATTAAATGTGGTGCTTGCTTGAGACCGCTTGTGCTGCCTTCCACCGGACATACCATAATTGCGAGGAACCATCCGACATAATGCACAACACAAAGAAACATGGCACCCGAGCCAGGAATCTGAGAAGTAGCTGCATTTCAAGCCCCAAAGCTTGATTATGGCTTCCACCTGGGTGTCGGACAAACGGCACAGCTGAATCTGGCGGTGCTTCACCAGCATCTTGAAGTGTGAAAACTACTTGCCATGGACACAGGTCAATATATCGTTGAGGCAAGTTGCCATGAAGAGGACCCCAAAGGTCCACTCTAGAACGTCGAAGACTAACGTAGCGTTAGGCATGGCCTGTCAGTCTGCCACTCGATGCCATACTGCTGTTCTTGCCAGAAGGTGCATCTCCGAAGTACTGCTTGCACAAGGTTTGCAAAACTTTGCAGCAGTACTGACTGACACTTGCTGTTGCGGCAGTCTAGGTACAATGCAAAGCTTCCGCGGTGCCTGCTCCGCAGTTTGTGTGAAGTGAGGGTAGCCAATACTGTGTCCGATGGTGATGCCCCGATACTGGAGTTCTGCTGCCATCAGGATCTGAGCTGCAAGTGCTCAAGACACAAAACCTCTTTGCCGTTCGCACCATGCCTAGCTGGGCCTAGCTTGTTCTGTCAAATGTCCCATCCGATCAGCCAGGTGGCTGCATGTCCCAGGATGCAACAGGCAAAGACGAGCTCAAACAGCGGGTGTGTTGCAAGCCTGGGCAGTCGACAATGCGACAAATTGCAGAACGGAAAAGTGCTTGCCGCATCTCATGAAGCCCTCGTGCAAAGCACAAGCATGTCTCTGCAATCTTGGATTGGCTGGCGAAGGGCCTGCGCCAGAGGCTCCCTCGCAAGAGCTCGGGTCTTTGACTCTTCCGCCTCAAAGTGTTGCTCCTCGGAGGCTATCGTTGGCAATCTGTGGACGTACAGCATCGCACAGTAATAAACCCGTCTTGGGCTTTGAAGGAGGCTGATGGCTGAGTAAGGGGGTGAGTCGGCAAATGGCTGCGTGCGAGGTTCAGTTCGGAGCGTTCTTTCTTGGCCTTCTTCAGCGATTTGCTTTCCGCCTCCACTTGCCAGCATGCATTGGCATGTAAGACATGCGTGCGCACCTGCCCTGCACACAGCAACACATGCGGCACATTGCCCTTCCAAAAAGTCGGCGAACATGGTACTTAATTGCATCTGTAGTTGGAGAGAAATTTTGCTCACGACCTGTCCATTTGACAATACCTTTGGACGAAGGAAAACTCAAACTCTGACGCGGCATGTCGCATGAAAGGGCGAGTTTCTGCCAAAAAGCTTCTGCAAGTCACTGGACCAACTTACAGCAGAGCTTTAGCCGCACTTTAGCCAACAGAGGGGCTTCTTGCATGGGCCGCTTTCTTGCCTCCATCTCAGCCTCGGCCTCAACAACCTGCCAGAACATAGACACCGCTCATTGGCGAGTCAGCCAAAGAGAAGGGCCTTCTCCAGCTCAGCTTCTTTTGGATCAGCTGCAAACCTGGTGCTGCGCAAGTCAAATGTCTTCAGAGATCAGAGCGTAGCTCGCCACTTCTGCAAGAGTGCGTGCTTGGCTACAAACGCGCACATAATCCCTCAGGAATGGGAATTATGACTAGTCCTGCCCTAGGATGAAATGTATCAAGTGGCAGAGGCTTCTCTTCATTGTGATGAAGGACAGCAACTGGCTTCCTTGCATTTCACGACAGGCGCATCAGCTGCGATGTTCAGTCATGCAGTAACTTGTTTTCCAGGACTTGGAATGTCAGAAATGTCTATTCAATGCATTCCTCTATGTGGGTAGTTCCCAAAATTAAGGCACCATTTTGGAACCGCCAACTATTTAGGTGCCGTAGCGTGATCTGTAGCCAACAGGGGCCCATAATTTTGAGAACAGTCCGCGTAGCAAGGCTCTCTTAAACTGACTCAGAAGATCCAAGGCTCTCTAGTTCCAGGAGGTGCTTTTCCTCCGTCCTGGATGCAAACTTGCAAGGCAATGGCCATCCGTTTCGGTCAACAGCTGGGTGTGTGCCATCGTTGGGGTTTTTAACGTGCTCTTTAAAAGATTGGGACCCACAACAGGAGCCAAAATGTTGGGACAAACCAAGCTAAGGCATGACAAGCTTGTCAAGCGTCTTGTCGTTGGCCGGTGACGCTTCCGACTCCTCAAGTCGCGCGCCATGTAGAGCCTGCCGAACTCTACCAGCTCAATCTCAAACGGAATGGCACTTTCGCTGTGCCGTTGCTTTCAACTCGGTAGTTCTTACAGCTGGTGCTCGTTATGCTGCCTAATGAACACTTTCCTGTTACTGTTCGTGCCACTTGTGCGTAGAATGCTACTTCTGGCCCGCGCTGGTTTCCCTTGGTGGCGTTGCTGTGCCAAACATCCCGGAGGCTCAAACATGCCCGCAGCCTCCAGCGCGCTGGCAGGTCCGCGCAACTTGCCAGCACCCAGCTTGTGGCTCAGTTCCTGACGGATGGGGTGCAAGTAGCAAATTCCAGGCTTTGAGAGACTTTATAGAGAGCCCGTCCTTGAGCAACGCCTGGTGACGCGTCTCCTTGGTTGCTCTGTAGCATTTCTGGCCGACCAGCGAGGACGAAAGAGGAAGATCTAGCCAAGGCGCAAGAGTAGCACGCTCTTCTGCCAGCTCGCCCGCAAACCATTGAAACAGCTCCTCTGTTGGCATCGCCATGCTGACGGATGCTAAAACGTTCTATGGGCCTGGAGTTGGCAAATCTTGGCAAGGCTTTCAATCCACCATGCTGAGCTGGCTTCTAAAGCTGGCTTGCGTGCTGTTTGCATGGACCTGGTCAACGGCCGGATAGAGTCTGAGCCAAAGTGTGCGACCGAACATCCCCGGCACACGGTCAAGATAGTCAAGACATTGCTGGCACGTTCACAATTGATAGTATTGTAAACTTGCTCGCGAGCCTTTGCAACGAGCGGTGCAACACAGCTGCACATCGCCGGGCCAAATGGCACAGCTGCTCTCTTCAGCAACACCTGAAGCAATGTTTAGAATGGACCATGCAATCAGACGAATCTTGTGGCTTGCCGTGGCCGCATCATTCATTGATTCTCTACCTGCGATTGTGCCACCAGAAAGCAGAATTCATATGTCTGCCAGCTTAGCCAGTCGTAATCCTATGTTACCTCACAACAAACGACGGATGCCCTCTTTTCCGTTCCTCCCTTTCTGGGCATTGGGCAGCACGCAACCCTACCAAGCGACAGGAGGCTAACAGCTCAGCTTAGGGCGCCACCCCGAGCAGCTCGATAGCAGAGCTTGCGAGATGAGGATCCGAGCCTTGCCTGGAGTGCCGACAAGGCTTCCGCTGAAAAAACTTGAGCCAGGAAGTTTGCCTTAGGATTCACTCCCAGGCCATCTCAAAATACTGAGGCGCCGAGATGCAAGTCGTTTGCCACCACTGGGAGCAGGCTTTCCTGCTTGAAGTGTGGTCATGTTGGAGAACTTGCTTTCAAAGTGGCAGTGCCTCCATGGCACCCTGGAGCTGCTTGTCAGCGCTGACACAGCAGCTCACCAAATCCAGGACCTGGGCTGAACTGGTGTAGCCAAACTCTCAAAAGGCCCAACAATTCTCGCCTTAGGGCTCCAAGACCATTCAAATTTATGGCGACCTACATGTTGAATTGAACTCGTCTTGCAGCGGCATCCTCCACTGCAGAGTCAACAAACCACCTGAGCCCCAACTTGCATATGCACCATGGGATCCGCAGCGCATCTGCGCCAAATCTGCAGCGCCGAGTGAGCTTGGCAAAGGAATGGCTTTTCAGAGAATTGGTTGCTTAGCTTTGAAGCTGCAGCAAAATCCATGACAAGACCACTTCTTAATCTCGGGTTGGAAATACTGCATATCTCGTCCCGGGAAGCCAGGCCGAGTAATAGTAATTGTCATGGTAGTGGTGGTAGTAATAATAGCAGTAGTAGTAGTAGTAGTAGTAGTAGTAGCAGCAGCT